CATAACTGCTGGCTCTCCTTGCGAAGGCTCCCCTGCTTTGGTGCTGGGAGGTCTGTGATGCGAGACAATTTTATCTGAGCCCCAAGCCCATGGTGGGTCTCCCACGTTCACCAAACGGTGTCATCGGGGACCATGGAGAGGGGATAGCTGAGGTGGGGTCTGGCCAGGTGGACAGAGGGCAGTGATTGGCAGGCTTTGTGGGGTGGACCGTCACCCTTGACCAGACCACCTGGGACTCCCTCCGCCAGCCTGAGGAGCCCGTGAGAGTGAGGAGGGAAGCCCTGGGCAGGGGGCCTGAAGCTCTGGCCGTTGTCGGTTGTTGGGGGGTTTTGGTTCAGGGCACGGTCCCTCCTCCTGGCCATGCGAAGTGGCCGGCCTGGCCTCAGCTTTTCACCCAGGTGCTGGCCATCCCGGGGTCTTTCCGGGCAGTGGCAGTTTGCAGACGTGCTGTGGTGGCCGACAGCAGGTCGTCAAGGCCAATGTTTTTGGATGTCTCAGCCTCATGCTAAGCCCTAGAGCAAGCCTCCCAGCCTTGGAAGAACAATGAGCTCAAACAGAACACCCATGATCGTCAGTACCAAGAAACACTGCCAGACCTGGCGGGACTTACCTCACGGGGTGCTGGGCAGCCGTCAGTAAGAAAACGGGGTGCCTCTCAAAGCCCAATTTTGAAATTTCCTGCTGCAAGGTGACCTGCTGCCCAGGCTGCAGAGGTCGTCCGTGCTAAAGCTCCCAGCCACGTGAGCCCCTCATGCTTAGGGCAACTTGGTACCTGACTGCTCCTCCCTGGGGACACGGTGGGGTCCTGTCCTTCCCGGGAGCTGAGGGTTCTGTGCTGGGCCGCAGCCAGGGGTGGGGCCAAGAGCTGGCTGGGGACTGGAGGCCCCGGGTCCCCATCTCTGCCGAGCCATTATGCAGCCTTGAAGCCGTGGGTGGGACAGCTTTTTGTCTTTCTGTAAGCAAAGACACAGCCTTTGGCAAATCAAGGGCGGAAGCCATGGCCAGCCGCATTTTCCTCTTCTTTATGACTGACGCCTCCCTAACACGTGGCTTCGTAGATTAAATGAGCAACAGGACCTGGATCCCAGAAGCTGGTCCGGAAATGTTGGCCCTTTCCGCCCCACACCCCGAGTTGTCATGCTGCCCCGAGGCCCCCTCTCCATTTGCGCCTCCTCGCTTGGCTGCTCCCTGGGGTGCACCCCCCACTGCTTGGCTGGGTCCCCACTCTCAAGAGAGAAACCTTCCTCGGTTGTCCCACGTTTTGGTACCAGCCTTGCTTTGTTGGAACCTCCAGGCCTTCCTGGAGGTTCCGTCTACACTGTCCGTCTTTAGTGGCACAAGCCACCTCTGACCCTGTAGGAGTGGGGCTGGCCGCATCCTGGATGCCCTGACTGCTGGACTGGACAGTGTCTCAGTCGTGCCTCTGTCAGCAGCACCTGTTTTTCTTGCCCTCCCTCCGGACTGTGAACGCAGGGTCCCATCTGGGCAGAGCTCTCACCTGGGCAGGGTCCCTGTCTGAGTGTCCGGCATGTGGCCGGAGCAGGGATTCAGCTGGGCGAGCGTGGATCCCAGGTGCTTAGCGCAGCCCTGTCAGAACTGGATTTGGCAGTTGCCTTGTAATAGCTGAGGTTTCAGGCCTTTCTAGGAAGGAGTGGGGCTTGTGCTCCCAGCCCAGTGAGTTTTCGGCATGGGTTTGTTGAGCGACTAAAGGAACGGACGTACCTACTGCCCTTTCAGACCAGCCAGATGCTGGAATGCAGACCTCAGGGCCTCCAGATGTTGCTGTGGGGAGGGGAACCCTTGGCCACCTGAGGGAGCCAGCATGTCAAAGGGGACCTTGTACGGGGTGAGTGGAGGGTCACCAGTCCCCCGTTTCTCTTCCCTGCACAGCGGGCGCAGATGTCCCCATGGAGACTTGCTGTGCAGATGGACATCGAATGGCCACCCAGCACAGGGACTGCTCCCTGCCGCATACCTCGGAATCCAAGGAATGCAGGTATGTTTTTAGTGGCTGCCATGGTACCAGGACGACATTTCTTCAGAGGAAAGTGGGGGAGGAAGGGGCAGCCAGGCCCCCCCCCCGAGGCTAGGTGCCTAGGGCCAGGTACGCCTGGGCTGAGAGAGGTGCGGTGGGCCGCGTGCCCCCACGGTGCCTGGACAGGACTCTGCTCCCCCTTCCCATGCCGTCTAGCTGTCCATCCCTCTCACTGGGCTGCCAGCACCATCGGGGTGTGCAGCTCCCTCTGCCACAGCCGGGCAGGTGGCCCAGTCAGCTTCCTCCTGATGAAACGAAGGTCCTTGGAGGGGGTGATGAGATCATAAGCTGGAAGCGCTTGGCAAATCCAAAGTGTGAATTGCCTTCAGACCCCAAAACCACAGGAGCCCGTCCAGAACGGAGAGTCCCCCTGACAGCTGCCCACCTTACACAGTAGCCGACGTCTGCACTGACTGTTCTTATTCCTCTTTCCCTAAATTGACTCAAGGTCCCTCAGAGTCCTGGGAGCATATACAAGCTTAGAATAAATAACGAAGATATGTTGATCATCATCATCAAGATCGTTGTGAAAACAACAGCAAGCCTTTAGAAAGCACCCACTTTACGCTGTGCGTTTGATGCACATTTCACCTTGCTGTGAACCCCATTTCACAGATGAGGAAACCTAGCTTTCCCCGGTACCCACAGCCAGCAGGTGCTGGCATCGGGATTTGGGCTTAGAGCTACTTCCCCTGGGCGCAGGTGTCAGGGAAGTGAGAGGGCATGAAGACGTCATCCGTTGCCATGCGTTCGCTTCTGAGCCGAGTCTAAGCGGCATTGACGATGGGCACTGTGGGCAGAAAGAAAATGCGGGGAAGACTCGCCCGCCTCATTCTGGAGTTTGCATTTGTGTTGGCATCGAGCACTGCGTGCTGCCTGCCAGCAGCGACAGGGGATGCAAATCTTAATTTAGAAAATTCTTGAAAAGTCAAAGAAAGCCTTATAGACCAAACAAAGGAAGAGAAAACAGGACACGGGTTGTTTGAATCCACTGGGAGGCCGTGGGGTTGGGATTTACGGAGCGTCTGATGAGTGACAGCTGGGACCCTGGCTCCCACTCACAGCTCAGCGCTGGAAAGGTTGGAGGGGCCGCTGGCAGTTCCCCCGGGACGCTGGGAGCTCAGCCCCAGGCGTTCCGTTTACAGACAGCACCAGCACCCCAGAACCCTCCCAGGCTGGAATTCTGGCTGTGTGACCTGAGCCAGTTCGGAGACTCAGTTTCCCCCCGTGTAAAAGGGGGACCCTGATACCTTCTTCCTTTCAGGGTTGTGGTAATGACCTGAAGTGAGAGAAGAAGCCAGCGCCCCAAAGCCCAGTGCTGCGCTCCTTGTGCCACCTGCCCCACTGGGACACAGCGCAGCCGCTGTTGCCCCGGAAACCCCCTCCGTGTGAGAGCCTCTCCTTCCCCACCAGGCCATTCCTCTCCCCACCCCTGAAGCCTTTGCACAAGCCTGACACACAGTAGGGCTACAGCCAAATTTTGTTTTGATTGTAGTAAAATACCCATAACGTACATTTTGCCATCTTAACCATTTATAAGTGTACATTTCAGTATCTTCCCACTGCTGTGTGACCGTCACCACCATCATCTCCAGAACTTCCTCATCTTCCCAAGCTGACTCTGACCCCATGAAACAACTCCCCGTCCCCCACCGCAGCCCCTGGCACCCACCACCCTACTTTTTGTCTCTGTGAATTGGACTTCTGCAGGTGCCTCATATAAGTGGAATCACACAGCGATGCCTTTTGTGTCTGGCTTGTTTCCCTTAGCGTGACGTCCTCCACAGGTCCATCCGTGTTGTAGTGTGTTAGAATTTCCTTCCTTCTTAAGGCTGAGTAATAGTGCACTGGTATGTAGAGACCACATTTTGCGTATGTGCTGCTGTGGACGTGGGTGCACAAATATCTGTTGGAGTCACTGTTTTCAATTCCTGGAGGCATATCCCCGGAAGTGGGTATGTAGTAGTTTTAACTTTTCGGAGGAGCCCCCTCGCTGTTTTCCACAGCGGCCACACCGTTTCCTATCCCACCAACGGAGCACGAGGGCTCCCTTTCCTGCACATCCTCACCAACACCTGGTTTTCTATCCAGCCAAAAGTTTTCAATGGCTGGCTGACTGGCTAGATGCATATCTGGGTGCTCTCTCTGACGATTTAGTGAAATGCCTGTTATTTGCAAATCCCCCCAAAGCATGAGTGAATTCTGTTATGTGGTCACACAGTACAGATAAACCCATCCCAGAGCTCGGGGGCAGTTCTGGGAACACGTGGGAAGCTGGGTGCAGAACCCCACAGGTTGGAGGCGGGGGGAAGGGCAGGCGGGGGGCTGATGCCGGGGGACAGAGGTGGCCTGGCTGGCAGTGCACAGAGCCTGAGTGGGCCCCAACCCCCTGGGCAGGCACAGCCCTGGCATCTCGTCCCGCCCTTGCTGGCTTTGGCCAAAGCCAGGGTTATTTTGGGTCTGGTGGGAGCCACACCTGTGACTTACACATGGCACCCCTCACATGTGGTCTCGCCTCTCTGGAGTTATTTCCTCTGAGTCTGGAAAACGCGGATGAGTGTTGAGATGAATTCATCTGGTAAGGATGAGAGGGTCCGGCCCAGAGTCAGCTATCACCTGTCTTTGTTTTTTAAACAAGTGGGAACATTTTGGGGGTGAGGCTCAGAGCTCAGAGAGGTGAATGGGGACCTGGGTCTCCTGATGCCGCCCAGGGCACCACCCTGCGTTCAGTCTTTCTAATGAAACGCTTATTGAGCACCTTCTGTATGCCAGGCCTGTGTGTGTGTCTCTCTGTGTCTGGGTGAGTGGGGGAGGGTTGGGGAAGGGGAGACACCCAAAGATGACTGAAGTCCAACCCCCGAGGGGCTGCTGCTCTCAGGCCCTTGCACCGCCCGGCAGGCCCCCCGCCCCGCAGCCTCGGCCCTTGGCCCAGCCCGTCCCTCTGTCCATAGGATGGTCCAGGAGCAGTGCTGCCATAACCAGCTGGAGGAGCTACATTGTGCCACAGGTATCAACCTGGCCAACGAGCAGGACCACTGCACCACACCACACGGGGACAACGCCAGCCTTGAGGCCCTGTTCGTGAAGGTGAGCGCCTGGCCTGCCAGCCAGCAAGCCCTGGGCCCCTCCCAGCTCAGCAGCCACTGCTCATCAGCGGGGGGCCTGGGGCGCTCTCCCCCTTCACCCCTAGCTCCAGGCCACCTTTCCTTTTGAGCAGCAAGGGGTGCCCAGCGAGGAGGGGAGGAGGGACCATTGAGGCTCCCCGCCTCCTCCGGTTTAATCAGTAAACCTTGGACCACACCCTGGGCCCAGTCCAACTCTGGGAAACAGGGATGGAGTCACCCAGCCTCGCCCTGAGGACTTCCAGTCCTGGGGCTTCAAGCGGGAACACAGAGGTCAGAGCAGGGGTTACCTGGGCTCAGAGCCTTCGGAACCCTCTTCTCAGTTCAATGTAGGCACCCCTGCCCCACTCAAGAGGTCTTCAAGCTTCCCTGCCCTCCAGAGCGCAGAGCTCAGAATGGGCCCCCTCTAAGGCCTCTGATAACATGACCTCCATAACCACCCTAGAAGAGAAAACTGAGGTTCAGAGAGGCCCACATTCCAAAGCGGCCTCTCAGGACCAACTGGGGAGAGGGGTCTGGTGAGGCGGAGCTGGGAGTGGGCTCCATCTGGCTCAGAGACAGCCCTGCACTGAAGGTAAGCTGGGAGTAAATGACGTAATCCATCTGGGGCTCCAGGTCCAGGCCAGGCCACTCAGGGCGTCTACCACTGTGGAAGGTCTGCATCTCTGCGTGGGTGTGGCGATGTCCCAGACAGCATCCCCAGGTCTGAAAACTGCACATAAACTAACGAGGTGTCCAGGCTGCCCCTGCCTTACCACCTGCTGAGGAAGGACAATGGCTGCCCAGAGGAGCTCAGGTTTGAAAAGCTCCCCTGGTCAGCGGGCTTTCTCTCAGAGGTGCCAGGTGACGAAAGCAAGTTCCCTGGAAAAAAGACTTCCTGCTCCCTGTGAGGAAGGCAATGGAGTCATTTCAAGGAGCCAGAATCGGAGTGGCGTCTGATCCTGGGAGGGGCTGTGTGGGTGTCTGTCTGGGGGTTCGCTCTCTACACAGATTGGGATGTGGAGGGAGATTGTACATGGAAGAACTGGGGGTCCTGTGCCCCTCTGGCCACCCTCAGCCTTTGTGCGCTTTCATGGGAGGAGGCTTCTGGCGTGAGGGAGCTCGGTGGGGTGAGGGTAGGGTGGCCTGGTCAGAAGGCCCCGGGGAGCCTGGACCTCGGGCAATCCGTGGCTGCTTCTCAGGCAGGAGCTCTGCGGACGGCATCTGCCTGGCAGACATCTCTGCCTGTGTCCCCAGACTCGAGAGAAAGGGAGGTATGGGGAAAGCACGGAACATCCTAACAGGAGTGGGAACAGATCGCTCTGGCAGATGAGTGATTTGTGTTTCCGGGAAGGGTGACTCATGTCCCCCAAGGTGGAGGAGGCACTAAAGCCCCTGCCCTTTCTGGCAGCAGAGGTTGTAGCACGAGCAGAGTGGAGAACCCATCAACGCCCCCCAGCCGCCCCCAAAATAGCAGAGCCTCGCCTCCCCGGCCCTGCTATGGACCTTTTGGAAAGTTCTGGGTTCTCCTTAGGATAATGAAGACTGAAAGGTCTTTTCATATGTCAGGGTGAATGTTCTCCCCAGGATTCAGGGGTGACTTTTGGGAACGCTGGGGTCCGGGTGACAGGCAGCGACTCTGTCCCCTGCTTGATGACTTGTCTTGAGGTTCCTGTGTTTTCCACATGGACGATGCCGTTCCTGCCGCCCGAGCCACCTGGCTGGGACGGAAAGTGCATGCTCGTTCTTCCGGGCGTGCTCGAGGCATCTTAGACCGCACAAGAGGAACGGAGCCGTAGGCAGCTCCGTGGGACTCTGCGAGGGTCCCTCTCATAGCTCCCTCTTCCTGGAGGTGTGTAAATGGCTAGGGCAGGGATGTTGGGGGGGCAGTCAGGTATTGGGGAGCACATGCTGGATACAAGCCCTTTTAAGGTTTCTTTCAAAAGCGGGGCCTGTGAGAATTGGGGGCAGCAAGCCCCAGGCTTGGCTTATTTTGCTCTTTACTGCCCACATTTAGAAGAGATAGTTGGGACAGGCACGCGTCATCACCGTTCAGGGTGAGTGGACTTGGGGGCGGGGTTCAGAGGGGCCCGCGGGGCCGCGCTGTGCTGTGGGTGTGGCGTATCCATCTGGAGTCTCCGCCTGTGTTCGCAGAGATGCTGCCACTGCTGCTTGCTGGGGAGGGCGGCCCAGGCCCAGGGCCAGAGCTGCGAGTACAACCTCTTGGTAGGCTACCAGTGTGGGCTGGTCTTCCGGGCGTGCTGCGTCAAAGGCCAGGAGACCACTGACTTCGCTCCTGCAGACAATGGGGACCTCCAAGAAGCAGGTAATTTCCGCCCTCCCTTCCCTCTTGGGCAGGGGTCGGCAAACTTTTGAGAGGGAGGAGCCGCCAGGGGTCAGCAAACGGCGGCTCGCGAACCGCAGGATCTGAAGTAAAATTGAAAATGAAAATAAAACTATCAT